GCGTAAAGTCGACGACCTGCCCTTTAAAAGTATAATGGATTTTTAAATTTTTCCCAAGGTCAAAACCCCGACCACGCAATGTCACACGGGCCTTTTTTTTTAGCCCAGGTCCACTACTTCCCCTGACCTTAAACTTTTTACCTTTTTTTTAAGGGTTTTTTGAGATAATTCCCCCAAATTTTAAAATTTTTCAAATTTCCGCCAATTTCCTCCCCCCGATTTTTTCCACCCACCCCAAAAAGTTTTATTTTTTTGAAAAGGGAAGGACGGTTTTCCCTCAAAAGGCACGCTGGGGCTTTTATTTTAGACAATATTTTTGCCTTTTCTTTTTAAACCGACCTCGCCTTAAAATACCTTGACACAAAAACCCCTTTTACACCTAAAAAAACCCCTTTTTTACCCCATACCCCGACCGGAAAAAAAGACGGCGGTGACAACCCACCGACAACGTCGCCGACGGGGGTTGCCACTCCCGAAACCCAAAAAAAAAAAAAAAGGCCCTTTTTTCCCCATTTTTTTTTTAAAAGAACAAATTTTCCCAAACCTACCAAGCAAAAAAAATTAAAAAAAACCAAAAAAAAAAAAAACCCAACCTCGAAAAAAAAACCCAAAAACCCAAAAAAAAAAACCAAACCCACCCCCAAGGCCCAAACCAAACGGGGAAAAAAAATTTTAAATTTTCCCCAAACCAAACCGGCCCTCCAAATTTTTTTTGGAAAATTTTTTTGCTGTAGATCTGCAAAAAAGTGCCTATTTTCGGCGGGACCCGCCCTTCCCATGCAAAAAGTGGGGCTAACCTTAAAACCTTTTTAATCAATGGAATTTAAAATTTTTGAATAAACTCTTCGACCCAAAACCCCAAGGGCACACGGAAACCTTTTTGGGTAGCCCGGCCCCAGGGACATACTTCCATGACCTTAATTTTGCCCTTTTTGTTTTAAAGGGAAAACCTTTTTGAGAAAATTTCCCTAAATTTTTTTAAAACTTGCAAATTTCCCGCCAAGTTTCCCCCCGGGTCCCGATTTTCCTCCCCCCCGACCCCAAAAAATTTTTTATTTTTTTTTAAAGGGTTTTAAAGGGACGTTACCACCGGGCCGGGGGGTTTTTAAATTGTAGCCCTTTATTACGGGGTTTTTTCCAAATCAGAAGTACTGTTCACAATGACCTTGACCTTGACATTCAAGATGTCCTTGACCTTGAAAACTAACTTTGTAAATTAGCATTATGGTTTTGCCTTAGGGTGTTTGCCATTTTTGGGCCTTGTACACTTTTTTGGTCGTTTCGAATTTTTTTGAAGGTCAAGGTCACATCTGATCCAAGGTCACGCTTTACATTTCTTATAGCAAATCGAAAGGGCTGTCTAAATGAGACCTTGACCTTGAAGATAACCTTGACCTTGAAATTTTACCTTGCCACGCCCGTATGGTTTTTGCCTTAGGGCTTGCCCAAAAATGTCGAGTTTGCAAAAGTCGAATTTACAAAAGTCGAGTTTGCAAAAGTCGACTTTGTCGAAAAGTCGAGTTTGTCAAAACATCGACTTTGCCACACCCTTAGGGTTTTGCTGAAAGTCAACTTTGCCACTCCTCTAGGTCCTAGGGTTAGTTCTCTCGTGGGACCTAGGGTTGGGGTTAGGGTTAGTTTTAGTTCTCTCGTGGGACCTAGGGTTAGTTCTCTCGTGGGACCTAGGGTTGGGGTTAGGGTTAGGTTTAGTTCTCTCGTGGGACCTAAGGTTTAGTTCTCTCGTGGGACCCAGGGTTTAGTTCTCTCGTGGGACCTATGGTTAGTTCTCTCATGGGACCTATGGTTTAGTTCTCTCGTGGAACGTAGGGATTAGTTCTCTCGTGGGACCTAGGGATTAGTTCTCTCGTGGGACCTAGGGTTGACCACTCTCGTGGGACCTAGGGTTGACCTCTCTCGTGGGACCTAGGGATTAGTTATCTCGTGGGACCTAGGGTTGACCCCTCTCGTGGACCTAGGGTTGACCCCTCTCGAGGGACCTAGGGATTAGTTCTCTCGTGGGACCTATGGATTAGTTCTCTCGTGGGACCTAGGGTTGACCCCTCTCGTAAGACCTAGTGATTAGTTCTCTCGTGGGACAGAGATTAGTTCTCCGGTGGGACCTAGGGATTAGTTCTCTCGTGGGACCTAGGGTTGACCTCTCTCGTGGGACCTAGGGTTGACCACTCTCGTGGGACCTAGGGTTGACCCCTCTCGTGGGACCGTCGCCGACGGTGCCTTGGCCGCCAATGTTAAACCGACCGACAACGTCGCCGACGGGGCCTTGCAACGCACAACCCATATTATAGGAAGAAAAGCCTGTTTGCTATTTTTTCAACTTTTGGCGCGAAATTCAAATCAAGCCACAGGCGCCCACAACTCAAGTTCCGTGACACCACATACGGTCGTCGGTTATAACCTTTGTTGCTCCCAGGGTCACGGTGCATCCCAGGATGATAAGGGAATTCTCCAACACAACGTGACCTTGAATCTATTGTCCCGGGTGCACGTCAAAAGCACTGTGACCACGTATCACGAAGATGTGTCACCCGTGGGGTCAACCTGTCAACCATTAATTCGTATCTCGAAACAAGTGACAGTTCCCACGCATTTTAAATCTGACCAAAGCGTGACTCCCGCCAAAAGTTGTTTTAATGCTTATTACATTTTTTTCTCCTTGACACAATTTATTTCAAATTGTTGGGCGCAAATGTCACGAACGTGGTCGGGCTAAAAACTCTTCTTGCTCCCAGTGTAACGGTGCATCCCATGCTGGCATGGTATTCTTTTTGCAACGTGACCTTGACCTCTTTAAACGGGTATTTACTCAAAAACAGCGGGAACTCGTATTAAGGTCAACCTGTCAACCGAAACTTCGAATCTCGAATCCATGTGTGCCTGCCAAATTCAAATCGGGCTATTACGTGACCCCCGCCTAATAGTTTTTGAAAATTAGGATTTCGGAATCATAAGGACTTTCTACAATGACCTTGACCTTGACATTTGAGATGACCTTGACATTAAAACTGCAACGCCATTAAGGGTTTTGCGAGGGGTTTTGCCATATGCTAGGCTTTCTACACTTTTTCAGCCGTTTATAATTTTTTTTGAAGGTCAAGGTCACATCCGAACCAAGGTCACGCTTGACCTTTCCTGTAGCGAATCGTAAGGACCTTCTAAAATGACATTGACCGTAACATTAGAGATATAATTGACCTTAAAACTTTGACTTTACAACGCCATTAGCGTTTTGCCTTAGGGGTTTTTGCCATATACTTGGCTTTGTACACTTTCTTCCCCGTTTATAATTTTCTTTAATCATGTGATCCAAGGTAACGATTAATCTTTCTTGTAGCAAATCTAACTGGCTTTTTTTAAATGACCTCGACCTTGAAATTTTACCTTGCCACGCCCTTAGGGTTTTTACTTTAGGGTGTGCAAAAAGTAGAGTTTGCCAAAGGCCTTCCCGTACATCATGGGTCCCCACCCACCCTATCCCATCGTCGAAATTCAAATCGACCCACAACGTGACCGGCGGCGCGAATCAAAAAGTTGCCGGGCGCCACGCCTCTTACGGCGATGGTACGAGGACGTGAACTTTAGGGCGCCAAAAGGTCACGAAGATGACCCCGCATCAGATGATCTCACAGGATGTTGCAGGTTCCTAAAGCAGGCAACAATAAAGCAGCGTATGAGAAAATAAGAAGACTAACCAAAACACAAAAACCCAAGGTATAAGAAAAGACATTAAAAACAACAATAAGAATGAAAAAGTAATGATAAAGACAAACCTAGGTGGTTTATAGTGTAATTTCTTTTTTTATTTGACGATTAAACATTTACATGGTACTGAAGCAGGCATAGAAGAAATACCCCCGTCCCACCACACCACACCACACCACCATTTTGTTCTGTTTATATTTTCTTCTCCTATAACTGCCTTATTGTTTTCAATATCTCGAACTGCACCACGCCCTCCCGCTTCCCCAAAAATTCCAGTGGTCCCCCTCCCATATCCATATTTAATCGAGGCAACTACATCCCCTGTGAAAGGTTCCAGCGTTCTTTAATGGGCGGTACTGCATATTTTAGGAACCTTAAGCGTACAAGTTAGTCTTCCATAGATACAACAGTGTATGTCTAAATATGGCCTATATAACACCCACAGCTAGATCCTAGTCGAAAGGTCTTCATAGAGAACATATCGAAAGATCTCGGCAATTGTGGTGTTAGCACTGGTGATCTCCTTGATGTGCTCGGGAACAGGGTAGTTGGGAGCACTCCAAACGTGCACAGCGTAGTTGTTGCGCCAGGGGTAGCCGCTCTTATTGAATAGTAACTCTGACTCGAACCAGTTGGGACGGTAGATCTTGTCTACCATATGAACACGTCTGGGATTCTTCAGCCACATCTGCTGGGGAATCTGTAGGGAAATGTATTGAATAACAATATACGGGTGTAACTGGGACATGTAATGACACGCGTTTTACCATATTGAAGTAAACATCTACTAAGCATAGTTTATGACTAAAGAGGTGTGGCTTAGGAAGGTTCAGACCAGAATAAAGACAGTCATGAGATTAGTATCATTATGTGGGACACGATAAGAAGTGAGCATTACCAATGTAATTATGGTAAAGTGAATGGATGATTAAAATGGTAAAAGTCTACAATCATTATTTGGCACAGGGATGATTCGAGTGAGCGGGTGAAACAGCCCGTAGCGGCTTTGGATATCTCGCCATTTGTGACTGTCATGATGGATGTCAGAGTGATGAGGGTGAACTGTTTCTACTGAATATATCTACACAAATTTGAGCTTGCCACCACTTGTATGTGAATTTAGTATGCCTATCTTTTTTTTTTTTTTTGAAGCTCCCACCCTGGCTTTTGCTGGGGACCCTGAAAAAAGATGGGCCACTTTAGTGGCCATATCGGATGAAAGAGGTTTCTGGGACCTCTCCACGGGTGATCCTCATCCACATCATGTGGGATGCAATTTTTAGTTATTTTGAAGCCACACCATGGCATTTACCGGGGGCCCTAAATATAGCCGGGCCTTAAATATGACTGAACGGAGTTTTTGGGACCTCTCCACGGGCGATTCTCATCCGCATGGTGAATATTTGTGTCACCCGGTGTTTATCGCTTGTGTGATGTCCTGGTCCTTGGCATTGAGTCGCTAGACAAAATCACAAATGCTGAGGTACTGGAAAGAGCAGGTACTACAACAGTCTTCTCAATGCTCAGTCTACGAAAGGCTCCGGTGGCTGGGTCACATCTGGAGAATGGAGGATGGCAGAGTCCATTAGGACATTCGCTATGGTGAATAAAAGACTGGTAGAAGATGTTGAGGCTCACCTCTGCTAATGTATACAGATGTGTGCAAGCGGTACATGAATGATACAGGTATTTTTCCGGACTCATGGGAACAAAATGACATGGACCGTGTCGTATGGAGAGGGCATATCAGGAAGGGAGTAAGCGTAAAGAAAGAAATGATTAGAGAGAAGATGAGAGCTGAGTGTCTGAGAAGAAACGGATTAAACACAAATGTTGACAACAATGGTCCTGAAATCTCATGCTATCATTGTGGAAGATTTTTCTGACACGGGCAGGTCTTGCTGGTCACACTCGCCATCGCCATGGGCTGTGAGTCCCATGCCTTCTCATATCGCAATATAGCACTATAGTCTTGAAAGGCGGAAAGGTGCCAATCAGTCATCAATCAGTCGATGTCCTGTTGTGGTACAACTTACCTTACCTCTCAAAAAATCCCTCTGTGTGTCAACAGTGACTTAAAAGGGACGATTTCAAAATTCAGTTTCGTTATCTAGCTCTCCATGTCAAGTGGTCAGCTGGTCAGTCAACTTACCAACTTGTTCTATCTTCACGCTGGCCATCTTGCCCGCTTTGTTGTCAGCTTCTTTCACTGTTCTTTTCAAAACACCATTTCATACTGTACGTTTACAAGTCACATGCAATTTGACTTCACAAGGACCTTCCTGCCATCTCGAATTAGGATCAAATGAAAGCAGTTCGCAGGGGCTGTACCCCAAACAAAAGGTTGCTGCGTCCCGCTTAAATTTTTTTTTTCATGGTAATGATGGCAGGAAAGATAATGATGATGGCGATTATGATAGTGACGACGATTATGATAATAAATGTATTCACCTGTAAAGAGTTCCAGTAATAATTGCTTTTGTTGTATTTAGTGTAGTGAGAGTACCATTCCTCAATGAAGTCGTTTCCTCTTTTAGCCATTATAAAAGCATTACCCATTCCTGTACTGTTGTCTACCAGTCCCAATGTGAGATTATGCTCTGAAATATCACATGGAACCTCAGTAAAAAAACGCTATCAACACAAGTATCGTTTGCCCTCATCAAGAACGGCCAACACACGTGACCTCATAAACAATGGTTGCCAAGATAAAACCTCGTCAAGAACGGCTGTCAACACACGTGACACCGCAAGAACGGCTTCTAACAATATGTCACGTGACATCACCAAGAGCGGCTGCCAACACAATCGAATTTATCCAGGTTTCACATTTACACAGTAGACCTGACATCTTGGGCTAATATTTAATAACACGCGTCATCTATGCACTGTTGTTTCATAATGTGATGCAACTTTAAAGAGAAAATATTTCATTTGTTTAATAAACCCACACTTTAATCGAATGAGTTGGAACTGCAATGTTTACCAACCCAAACTCTGTACGAAAAAACTGGAACTACAGTGTTCACTGACCCAAACTCTTTTGTGTATGCTATTATAATGTATTTTCTCAAAATATCGGTCGCGTTATCCTTTTGTAAGATGACAAGATAACCTTTGACTCTGTCAGTTGAAAAGACTTGGACGTGTATAGGAAGACAAAGTCACCAATGCTACAACACAGTGGACGCCTACTGGAGAGAAAGTTGGTCGGATAGCCAGTTGACAGCAGTTGGTCAGACAGCCTGCAGAATGGACGACTAGTTTGTAAGATAGCTTTTGTGAAGGATAGTTGACAAAACCTGTAAGTGTCCAGTCACTTATGGCGACTTTGGCAGACGACCAGAAGAAACAGTCGCCCAGCTCTTAGTAGGGACGTCTCAACAATTAGACAGGTAACCTGGCTTTAAAAATCGTTCTTTAAGTTTGTGAACACTTGTCTAGTACTTTATGGTACAATCAGACGCGCATGAGTATGGGAAACAGTTTCGTCGGACATCAAGTTAAATAACTTGGCTAAAGGGTCACAATAGCCTCCGTGAAGAATAGTTGACAAGACTTGTGACTGGATAGTCACTTATGCTGCAACTAAGCTGATGACTCTCGGAAACAAATGGTCGAACAGCTACTTGAGCGAACGACTCATAGGTCGGACGGACAAACTGTCTTTCGAAATCACCCCTGTCAGGGGTCGTCCCGGTTATGGGACACTTCAGTATGATAATGATGAATCCCACCAATGGACCCTGCGACCCTTAGCTAAACTCATTACGTGTATACACACGTAGAAACGTGGGTATTGAACGAAGCTGGGTGAAAACTCAGTATGGCTTGTTCAAGTCCGGCGGATTTCACGTAGGCTAACCGCCCCGTGGACACCGCAAAGCGTAACAAAACTGCTATGCAAGGCAGAGTTGGGCACTTTCTAAGGACTTGTGGTGTTGACTTGACGTGTGACCGGAGCGTTAGATTGTGATAGTTTAATTGACAGATTGTATTTACTTGTAAAAATGTACCATCGTAGTTATCAGCTGTAATGCGTACTGTTCATAGTGTGATTAAATGTATTTAATACGTTACAGGGTAGATAATACGTGTTCTATTAGGATCACAGTCAGAATTAGATTTAGGGTAGTAGCTAGACTTTGTCAGTAGTTATAACTCTTAACGATAAGCCAGACCATGCATTGTTTGTGACTCTAGCCCACACGTGGCTGTGCCATAGCGTCTTTGGCATCGGGAGACAGCGGGTTGAGTAAACGCTGTACGGGAGTGTGGCAGTGGCTCAGAGCTTATTTCATGAACGTAAAAAGGCGTCTTAGCGATCTTAAAGTTATTAGCGGCCTAGTTTCAGAATAAGGAGCACTACCCCCTTTGATCGGGTTTACCGCCTACTTCGTTTCTTTTGATAATAAAGATTGTGTGTGTGTTTCAACCATTGTTTGGCTTGGTTGTGTTTGTCGGCAGTGTTTTTCAGTCATTAGCCTGCAGCGTAGACAATGGAATCGAACTCTTAGACATTTAGGTTCTTTACAGTCCGTTTAAATTTGGGAAAATTCGCAGTCATGTATGGTACCACCAGGGGCGCGAGTATGAAAAACAGTTTCGTCTGACAGCCCGTAGATGGGACGCATAGTTGATTAGCCGGAGACGATAGCCTCCTTGATAAAACAATCGACAAGCTTTTCGTGTTTACAGTAAGACAACACTTTATATAACACAACCAGGTAGACGACCCTGGTAACAGATGGTTGGACGTCTAGTTTCAAGGGCGACTAGTTGGTTAGACGAGTTTGTGCAAATACAGCAGAAAGAAAAGAATCGAGCCACTTAAAGTGGTCGAGTGGTAAAAGACAGCGATCGCTTTAGGGTGAATAAAAAAAAAGTGGGACTGTGTTGAAGCAATCTGACATGTCGAGTGAAACAAAACATGTTAGTAAGAATAGTGATAATTTTGTCACAATGTCGTCTTGTGTTTCGTGAAAGTCGCCGTGTGTTTCTTAGAAGTCGCCTTATTGTTGTAATCTTATTAGCCAAGAGTTAAAGTTTCTTCTAGTGGTAACAGCACAGGTGAAAAGTTCACACAGCGGCCACGGGTCGTTACCTAGGATACGAGCTAATTGAATTCTGGGCGATGAAGACAAAGGCCCAGGCAGTGGAGATATTTCCCTTGTCCAAGTCGGACGTTACTCTTTGTGAGGTTTTGATTTACCGTTGTTTGCGGGAGACAGTTTAATGTCTATTTACTTATTATAATGGCAGGAGCCCATTGAGAAAAGCTGCTGTAATCTTTATATCATCAGAGTAGATAATGGAGATTTATTATCGTACATGTTTTATTGACTAATCATCATCATCTTGTGACGTGTAACTTTAATGCCATTAAAGTTTATGTCGCCTTTCACAAGCGTTATTGTTGACTTGAAAAGATAACAACTGTATTAGATGATGCTGTGCCAAGTGTGCCAGTAAGTATAGTATGCAGGACTTCCCTGTAGCACATCCATCAAGGAGATATCCAGTGGAATATTAAAGTAGGCACCCTAGGCCTAAATACTTGGTTGAATATACAGTGTACAACAAAGTGTACAACAGTGGATGGCCAAACCGGTCCTTTGATGGATTTATAAACAGTGTTGATTTATCCAGTGTTCGTGCTACTGACTGATGATCGTTTAAATGAATACATTTAACTGTTCGCACATAGACTCACAGACGTTATAAATTAACGGATCCTAAAAGGAGTTATAAACTATTTTTTTACGTGTATGCAGTGCTAACAGGTGTTTCTAGCAGCTTTACGAATTTATCGGACATACGTGAACTAACAGTAGGCCTTAACTGATTGCGGTTTACAACTGTATAAAGTGCTGGTGACATTAGCAGTGTTATTTAACTCTATAGAATTACGCGTTTTTTATGCCGTAATTGATATTCTTTGACGGAGTTTGGCAGCGGATGCTTGAGTTTCGCATCATTAATAGAGGTTCCTGTTCTCAGTATGACTTAAGGATCTACGCTCACGACGCATAAGGATTGCAGTACGGATTAAGGATCGCATCGACTTGAGGATCTACGCTTAAGACGCCTATGGATCGCATCTGTGGATTTAAATCGGGTAATGTTTTTTGTTGACGGATGGGAGTTGTGTTGTGTGCTCGTTTCGTCTCATAACATATCCGAGGTGTTAGAGTGAATAATTATCATCCATGTTTTCTGTTATTTGTAACTTTAATATATCAGCTCATTGAGTTTAGGATGACATATTAGTTATTTTCTTCAGCTTTTCTTGTCAAAAAGGCAGCTCTGATATAGAGGATATGCAAATATTTGTGGCCTTTCTGATAATTAGTCGCAAATATTGTATGCCTTAAGTGTGTTTCCGTCGTCACGTCATTGGTGTGCTCTTCTGTTTACTTTTCCTTATTTCTTTTTTTTTTAAATGACAGGCTTGTAGTGTCAACTTTATTTTTACTATTTGATTCTCTCAACGTTGTCGTTTTGTACATTCGTGAACGAAGTGTAGCGTCTTATTTGTCAACCATTGTTTGTCTCATTTTTTTTCTCCATTTATTATTATTTTATATTTTCTGTATTGCAAAATACATCGAGTTATAATGGCTTCCTTTGCGGATTTTGTTGAGCTAGGCCGATCTATGAGTTTAGAGGGGCCAGAGTTGGTCAAATTTGCCGAAGCCAGATTAAAAGAAATCACAGAGAGAGAGAAGAAAGAACGTTAGAAATACAGCAGAAGAAAATTGACCCTGAGTTGAAAATACAACTACTTAATGCAGAAAAAGAAAAAGCAGAGGCAGAAAAAGAAAAAGCAGAGGCAGAAAAACTAAAACTAAAAGAAGAGTCAGAAATGCTGATTTGTGTAGAGAGAGAAAAGGCTGAACTACAAATTAGGTTACAAAAGGAAAAATTAGAGGCAGAAAGACTGAAACTAAAAGAAGAGTCAGAATTGCTGATTTGTGTGTAGAGAGAGAGAGAGAGAAAAGACTGAACTACAAATTAGGTTAGAAAAGGAAAAGTTAGAGGCAGAACGGATACTTAAGAAACAGGAAATAGCATTTAAAAGAGAGCAGATGTTGCAGTAGATGCAGGAAAATGATAAGCAGCAACAATTTAAAGATCGAGAACTGGAATGGTCTCACAGGCAGCAACAACTTAGATTCGACACTGAGATAGAAATTGCTAGAGTAGAGAGAGATAAAATGATTGCTCTTAAGGAGGCAGAGAGCAAGAAAAGTGGAGAGGGGATCAGATCCCCAACCGAGACAGGAATAATGGGTCATACAGGCCGAAGTTGCCCTTTTTAACAACCAATGATTGTTTGCACTCTTTTTTGGACAGATTCTAGGAAACGATGTCGTCAGCCCAGACTTCTGAGACACAGTGGGTAGCTCGTCTAAGAGATCTACCAACTGGAACAGTGTTAAACACGTTCACTAATTTACTGTTGGAAGACCGTGCATCATTCCAATCAGTGCGTCAGAAATTATTGGCTTCCCAAAATTTGACAGAGAGAAACTACCTACAGAAATTCAAAAACAAAATGCCTTCCTCTGAAAAAAGTTTTGGTGATTTTGTTGCCAAT